AGAGAAAGACGCTGGCCACGCCAAGTCTGGAACGCAGGTGTGACAATTGTACCTGCAATGTGTTTTCTTTATGTGTACACTTTAATTGTCACTCTGTTGTAAGTTTAGTTACTTTATTATAGTTTTCTTAAGTCAAGCTGCTTCATTTCTATTGTAAACTGCCTTTGGTAAGGTGATTTAGCTATAAACTTTGGGAATAAGTGGGGTGCCCTCATTCACTTATAAATATATATTTACTGAACCAAGTTTCTTTATTTCTTTTCTCTTTCTTTCTCCTATAAATAAGCCAGTGCGTGTCAAGCTTCTGACTTGAACCCGTGCTGCTGTACCTGAACCGAACACAAACAAAAGAACTTCAGCCGGTCAAAAGGGACAGGTATAGGAAGAGCTTGGGCGTTTTGGATCGTGTCGCTTCCAGGGGACAGATCCATTGGGGCACCTCTCAGCCTCCCCAGGCTGCCCGCTGCGAAGGGATTTCTGTATCCTAGCAGCTAACATCTGAGGTGTAATAAGCTCTTCCTATAAACTCGGGGCATCTGAGAGCCTGTTGGCTGCCCTCTGCGACGGGACCCCGGTCCTAGCAGTAAAGTCACAGACGTTAAACTATTTTTCGGGGTGCCCTCCAGCCTCCTGGGCTGCCCACTGCAACGGACTTTGTGTCTCAGCAGTTGAAGACTTGGGTGTTAACACACACGCACACACTGCCCTGACCATTTCGGCTGACAGTTTCTAATGCTCTTGGATTTCTATCCGTTTGAGGCAGTCCACTGAAGCCCATGGAAAAAAGACCCCCATTTAGTAAATGGGTTTTGGATTGGGCCTTTATTTTCTTTTTCTTTCATGTTGGGCCAGATCCTGAGGGCCTCGTGTATTTTCTACGCAGCCAACACTCCCATTGGAGCAGTCGGAATGAGTTGTTAGGGTCTGGCTCAGTGCATTGCTCAGTTCTCTGCACTGAACAGTGTAACCAGGACCAAAACTCAATGACTAAAGCAGCCTTTGTGTGGGTGGGAGAAGAGGGATGTATGACAGCTCTGGTAGCAATCTGTGACTGTGCCAGGCATTCTTACCCATTTCAAATGAGCTGGAAGATTTGAGCAGAAAGGCTCTCTTCCCTAGTGCAGCTGTTTTATTAGCATGACAGAGTTCTGTACCTCGGCATATACTTTAATAAAAAAGGCAGCAACAAGAGCAGCTTCTCAGCACCTCTAACTATCACTACAGGTCTGAATAATGAGCTTGAAATTGCAGGACTAACTGCCAAGACCAGTGTATTTCAGCAACAACAGCTCACAAAGAATCAGTTCATATATTGTACTGAGAGCCGCTGACATTTCCCAGCCAGACCCCTCCCCCCCCCCGTTTTCCCCCCGTCTATCACTTTATTTCATTAGTACTGGTCACAAATAAGAGCACAAGTTTCCATGACAGCAAAGGAGTCTAGAACTACTCCTGCTTGTTAGACTGCAGAGCCAGAAGAATCTCTATTAGCGACTGCACTCTTCTTTCCAGCAGGGTGGCACCTGGTTTTTCACTTTAGTTTAAGGACACCCCCCATTTTAAATAAGAAATGTAAAGCAGCTTCTGTTTGAACTGCCAAATGTACAAGCCCTGGGATGTTGTGTAAGCAAAGGGACATGTTGGTTCATTTCTAAATTGGGATGTATGTCACTTAAGTGTTAAATATTCTGCATTAACCAAGCACTGTGATGTGTATAACACACTTACAATAGCCAAGAGGTAAAATGCTAGTGAGTTTTATACAGCACGATAAATCAATAAACCTAGGGCCAGCATAGCAATATTGAGGAGCATTTGTATTTTATTTGACTAATTCAAAGGGCAGAAATACAACTCTGGGGAGAATGGAAAGCACTGGCAAGTGCTTAATTTTATTCCAACCGTCTAAACTTTTACCCTTTCCCCAAAGCTGTTGTTATTAAACAAACAGCCTTAGCATGTTAGTGATAATTTTAATGCCCCCTCCCCACCTTTCTGTTCATTGCAGTCACATTATGAAGCAGGATGCCAGCCTAAGAATCTGAGGGAAACTAGTGATAGAGCTCATCAGATTTTTTTTATTTTGAGTTTGTCAAAAAAAAAATCAAATCCACAAAATATTTGGAATATGATATGCAGTTGCAGTGCATCATGGGAGTTGTAGTTTGGGATCATCATGTTCCCAATCTCTGCCTGGGCTCCCTGATTAGACTACAACTGCTCTGCCCTATGCTCTCCCCTTTTGATTAAAGGAGGCAGTCCACTGAAGCAGTGGAGGCCTAGTCTTAGATAGACACACAATACTTTGGGAGAACCTCCATATTTTTTGATGACTTGCTTTGACATCATGGAGTATCTTTCGGTTATTGCCAACTTTCTGCTGCAGAAAGTGGAACAGAGGTGACTATTCTGAGATCTGCCCACATGTGCCAATGTTTATATACTTATATTTCCCAGAAACAATTTCCAAATGAAGCAGGTAGTAGGGTACCTGCATACTAAACAGTTAATCATCACAATACTTCTACAGGGAAGGCATGTGGCATAATTTTCATTTTACACAGAGGGAAATGAAACAAGGAGGTTAAGTGACTTTGACTAAGTCCATGGAGCTTAGCCTAGACATTTACAGGTCGCCAGAACTGAAAGAAGAAGGCAGTGCAGCCAGGAGCTTCAGAGAACCTCAGTGCTGTCCTTGCTCTTACAGCTCCTCTCCTTTCCCCCTGGACTGGCTCCAGTCCAGATAATAAGTAAATATAGCTTCTAAATAATTTTAAAACAAATTCACAGAAAAGCCTAATATTTGATGACCAGTTTGTTTTCCTTTCACTTGTGATGCGAGCTTCGTTTAAAGTGGGCTTTTTTCAATGGCTTTTTGCATTGACCTAACCCTGCTTCCGTGGAAATCAATGGGAGTTTTACCATAGTTTCTGGGGGAGCAGAGGTAGGCCAATGACCAGCAATTTTCACAACCTTACCTTTAGGGTGTTTGTTGTTTAGAGCACAGAGGTGTCTCTTTGCTGACCTGCACAGCATCTAACTCATTTTGGGAGTTATGTACGTATCTATAGGACAGTTGTAGCCTGCAACTACTTTTATTTGAGCAGAAGCTTTAGTGAGAAGCATGAAGCCAACGTTCCTGCTTTGAATGGCTGAATGAGCTCCCCACTTCCACTCAGCTCTGGTGCTACATTAACACAAAGATGGCCTTATCACCACCAGGAATCTGGTGCTTGGAAGCTTAATGTCTGGAAAAGTGGTTTTGTACACACATTTCAGCAAGAAGTTAAAAGTCTTAAGGGGACAGGACGCCAACCTACTCGGTTGGAACTAAGGATACTCTACATTCATTCATCTCTGCTCACGTTACAAATTGGGTACCTCTCTCCATTCAGAAGAGAAAATTTCAGATCCATGGTATGGTCAACGGCGGGGCACGTGACTGTGGTTTCCTGAATTATAGCTGGTGGCTTAGGGAATTGTTCTTGGCTGACAGCACTGCCAAGTCATTAGCTTTCTGCAAAGTCCTCTCAAAATACAAATTAAGGCTATGCTGAATATATATGTATGCTAATATTTTCCAGGCAAGAAAACTCATCAGAATAAATCATTGTATATCAAAAAGCCTGCACACATACCGTGATGGAACAGCTGATTAACCCCCCTCTTTTATGTACTTTCTGCAGTTCTTCAAACAGCTTCATTTGCTCAGAAATATTCTCACTGTATTTGCCTTTTACTAAGTCAATGGATTCTGCCACTGCTCCCGTGAAATCGATGATTGCATCTGCAGCAGTGCCTCCATCCAGGGCTTCATAAGATCCAGCTAGCCTAGAGGAAAGACACAATGATTTGAGATACCTTATAGCTGTTAAAACCATGCCAGATTGGATTGTATCTGTAATATTTAAGACTGCCCAGAAAAAGGATCACAAATATGTCCAAACAGCACAGAGGTGGTAAGAAAGTTTAGTTATACTGCTATGCAACAGACTTGAGAGCATCCCTAAGATTCCTGTGCTCTTAACTGCTAGAATTAGATGTAATGCCGAGGAAACAGACAGACATTCTGGAAGAACCAGGAGGAGGGGATCACTGCCTTAGAAACACCTCTTGGCTAGAGCTGGTTAGATTTGTTTTGTCACAATGGTTTTCTGTAAGAAAAGCTTTTTTGACACACCCCTCCCCCAGACTATATTAATTTCAAGAAAAAACATGGAAATGTTTTAAGTGTTGCCACATCCCATTTTGATATTTTCAGAACAAAAAATTTTGATTCTTTGTTTCAAAGCAACGTTTAATTTTGAAATGTAAAAAACAAAGTAAAAATAAGATCAAAATGAAACACTTTGAATTAATTAAAATGAAATGTTTTCACAGAGCAGATAAGAATTTTATTTCAGAATCTTGTTTTGAAAAAAAAAAGTTAAAATGTTGGCTTTTTGTCCAGAATTGGGATTTTTTTATTTGAAATGTTCCACAATAATGAACACACTGTTTTGACCAGTTCTGCTGCTGTTAGTGGATTAACGAAGAGTCCAGGAAGCCTCACCTACATATTCCTCAAGAAGAGGAACAATTTTGGAAAGAACATGGGGAAATATGATAGAGAGGAGAGAAGAAATCTGTAACATCTGAAAGGATAGGGTGGATTTTTATGTGTAGCTGAAATCACTGAAAGGACATTGAGCTAATTCATACTTTGCATAAGCCTTCTCCAGGAGTGCGCTCCAGAATTCATTCTTCACGTTGGAATGGCAGTAGATCAGCTCCCCATTAATTGTTGGCAGTCTATCATCTATGACAACATCCGTCCACTCTCCAAAATACCAGAACTGGAAGTGAAAAATCCCAGCATATTTCTGGGGCCTCTTGGAATCCCATTCTTGTTCCTTAAAGCATGGAATTACTTGAGAAATGAAGAGAAGCACAGCAGACCAAGCACAATGAATGAGGGCTCATCAGGAGGTGGTCCATGAGCAGGTACCACATAGAGCACTGCTCTGGCAGCCCTGTCTGCCTCTCAAGAGCTTGAGCTGAAATCAGTGGAATTGTACCCACCTGTACCAATAGTGAATTTGGAGCCAAAGTGTCTAATGTCCCATTTTGTGCAATCCGCATGGAGAATGAAAACCTGTCCTGAAAGAAGCTACAGAGCCCAGGAGTGATATTTTCAGTAACTGGCAGAAGCAATACAGGGCAGGAGACCCCTGGTTCTACTACATCCTCTGTCTTATGCCAGTGAGGATCTGGGGGGACTCAGCTCAGCAGAGAGTTTCTTGTCCTCCAGGAAAGACCCATAATAACAAGCTGTGGCAGCAGCAACTGGGGAGTGGGACGGGCATATAAAATGAGCTAGTAATGAAAATGCGGACTTCAAATGCCCACTTCTTCACACTGCATATTCTTCTGAAGGGAAGAGAGAGGAGGTTAAATTATCACTGAGAGGAAGGAAAATGAGAGCAGATTTGCATTGACAGCTGCCTCGCCCCCTCTGCAGGACACCTGGGTTCAGGGCATTCAGATCACCTTTGGGGATAGGTTTTATGTCAAGCACATTGGGTCACATACCTTTTGCCAGAGATTCTCCCAAAGAGCCAAGCAGGAGCAAGCTGCCACAAACCAACAGTTCCCCAGCTTCCCTTGATGCAAGTCATGGGCGCTGATTCCATTTACAAACAGGCATGGGTCATCACAGAGCTCCTGACAGAACAAAAGGGAAATTACTGGTGTGCTTGAGAGCAAAGGTATCTAAGAGCCCAACGAGGAGTTAGAAATAGAACTGACTGGACTAAAGACTTGTCTACCCAGGGACACTTAGGAGAGTTAAGGTGAATCAAAGACAGGTATGATATTAGGGCACATTAAACCCCCATCTGGATGATCTGATTTAGGGTAAAGTGGCTATTTGATGCAGGATTTAGCTACTGTACACAAAAGCCCTTTTAGTCCTGAATGAGAGCATCCAGTCTGCAGAATTTAAGCTTTCATTAAAAAAAAAAAAATTCAAACATGGAAGCTTATAGTTATGGATTTCAGTGTTGGGGTAGGAATGAGTCTTGCAAAAGAATCGATGTGGGAGGGCCCTTGTGCCATGCAACTCCACATCCTATTTCCCTGCCCCTAAAAAAGTGGCTTGATTTTCAAAAGTGCTGAATAGTTGAAGCTCTCCTGAAGGAGCACAGGAACTCACCTCTCTAACCGTCAGGGCATACAGGTAGATGCCTACATATGGATTTAACAGCCTAATTTAAGCACCCATATTTGAACACTTTTGCCTGAGTTTCTAGCTCTTCATACATTATGAATATAGGGACAGAATGATGGAGGGTAACAACCGACAGTGCATTTTGAGGAGAGACATGAATGAGAGAGTGATCACTCAGCATCCAAGAGCAGGGAACTTGCTGCAAAGTAAGGTTGGGAGAAAAGAAGAGTGTTGAAAGAGCAGGAAATGATTTCACCTCACAACTGAATGTTTCTGCTATGGCCTTCATCATAGCTGATACATCAGGGTTTGAACTGGGGACCTCAAGAGGTGAAGACTATTAACCTTATTGTCAGCATTGGCTGTAATTTGTTTCTCCCGAAGGTTTTCCAAAGTTATTTAGGCACCTAACTGCCAATGCAATTAATGGAAATTCAGCAGCTAAAAACCATTACGAGGTTAGCCCTGTGGCTGTAAGGCCACGTCTACACTACAGCTGAAGGTTGGCTTAAGGTACCCAATTCCAGCTGTATAAATAATGTAGCTGGAGTCAATGTATCTTAAACTGAGTTTCAGCATTGTCCTCACAACGGGAGGTTGATGGGAGAAATGCTCCCGTTGACTTCCCAGACTCCTCGTAAGGAGGACGCGTTCCGGCGTTGATGAGGGCGCCCTCAGCGTTTAAGTCTCTATTAGACCTGCTAAATCAAATGACAGAAGGTCAACTGTGGCAGCATTGATCTTTTTTGCAGCCTCGGCATGACCTAAGAGTGAAGCTGCAATATTTCAGCAAGTACAGGGCGCTGAAAGAACACAACTTTGTGAGTGTGCTGGCTCTGTTATTACTGAGCACTTGTCTAGTGTTCCTCAGGAAGTCACACTGACAGTGCTCAGTAACGGGTGTCTATGCCGCTCCTGCCCCATGTTCCCAGTGGTAACACAACTAGCAGCACCTTGAGAGTTTGGTGTGCATTGCAACCTGATAGTCACACTTCAGTGCCACCTGAACTGCATTCTAGAAAGAGCAATAGAAGTGGGTCAAGGAGGGGGGGGCAGTAGAGGTTGGAAGAGTGGCATCACAGGGGCAGAGATGGTGGCAGAGGCCAGTGTGGGAGATAGAGAGGGTAGTGATGGAGAGGGATTGTTTTTAGAAAAGATTTTTTTTTTACCCCGATACTATTTTACTCATTTAATAGCATTACTTGGGAGAATTGTTGAAAATTGGGAGGCACAGGCAACTGATCATTACTCAGTGCTGTTTTCTTCTGTCAGCAATTCTCTTACAAGTAGACTTCATGTATTAAAAAATTTACAAGAAACTCTGAATATTAGAAGTTACAAGGGAAAAGACACGGATAATCTGCTATGTCTGGTGTCAGCTATGCACAGATTACTAATCTGCACAATTGACAGGTCCTTTATGTTTATCTGGAATATGCAGGAACTGTAGCCCAGGAACTGAGGGAAGGAACTCAGCTTCTTGCTAGGATTTAGACCACCTGAAGATCTGTCCTTTTCTTTGCAATAGTGGTAAACATTCCAAACCCAGCTAGAACAAAACTCTAGACTGTTTCTTTTGCTGGATTACTAAGTAACGCTGGCAGTAATATTTTCTAGTTTGTTTTTCCTGTTGTAATATTGTCTTCGAGTCATAATTAATATGGGGTGGATTTGATTTTGGGAACAAAAACGTCAAAGTATTTTTGTCGTTGTCTCTTTAGGAAGCCAAAGAAAATGTGTTTTTGAAAGAAATTAAGCACACCCGTATTTGACATGTCCAAACAGGAAATGTATCCAATTTGTTCTCCTTGCCAAAAATAGCCATATTAAATTCTTCAGAGGATTGCTAGATACCCTTTGTCAAAAGCCTGATATCGGCCTTGTGTAGAGTCCCAGAGCAGTTTGTGTCAAAATGCCAAACATGTGGATATGATTAGGAGGGACTGACCATGAGGATCCAACATGAACACTGGGCAGAAGTGCTGATTGGCACGGTTTCCTTGTTTTTATTGTAGTTTAATATTTTTAAGATCCTGCTTGATAAATTTTTACCTGTTAAAATATTTAGCATGTTTGGAAATTTTGAAGCTAAACAATTAGCAAAAGTAAATTAGGCGATGTATATTTTCCTTCTTATTAATTACAGATATTGGAAGTGCACCCACTCCAATGGTACCTAAGTTTAGATGAAGCAAACATCTCCTCTGTTTACAAAATATATTTCATTTTCATATTCCAAACAGATACTAGTTCCTTTCTTTTTCATTCTTTTCACAGTACAGGCAGTCCCCGGGTTACGTACAAGATAGGGACTGTAGGTTTGTTCTTAAGTTGAATCTGTATGTAAGTCGGAACTGGCGTCCAGATTCAGCCGCTGCTGAAACTGACCGCCAGTTC